AAGATACGGTTTTTCTCATTGTCGCATGATAAAGAATTATGATTTTAAAAAGATCATAATTTTAATAAGATCATGATAAAAAAAGTATTATTGTAAAATGTTATTTTAACCATGAATTTATTTGTATAATCGGAATTAATTTAGCGTCAAAATGGAGTTAACATGTTCAAATTGTTGTTGGTCAGGTTTTATACTTTATAAAGTATATACATTTTAAGGAAATAACGAAAGAATATTTGCAATTTTCATGTAACGCAAGTTAACAAAAACAATATGAAGTTTTGTTTTTTCTTAAATTTAGTTTAAAAACCTTTTAACAATATATGCGAAATAATATTGAATGCTACGTTTTCGCATTTAAAATTTTGAATTACGATGCTTAGTTAAAGCACATTTGTATTTTAAATTTGTATAGCATAAGTTAAAACTAAATACATCTGCCGCTTTTTGGTTAACAAAATGAATTACGTCATTAATTCTTATTTTGTCACATTACACAGTAGGGTGGGTCGTACTTTTAAAATTTTGGATATTGGAGCGCGCGCAATATTTTTTTATGAATTAGGATATTAGAAGAGACGTGAATAATTTTTCTTTCTTAAAAAGTTCATCTACTGTGGACGCGGGGCGTTTTTTAAAATGAGTTTTACGAAAAACTCATCATAATGATGTTTTTTGGCCTTTTTTATATAAGGCAAGTGTAAGACAATTATCAAAAAGATAATCAGACATAATATAGACATAAATATAAAACTTAATAGCGCTGCTAATTTTCTTAATTTCGAAATGGGATTGCGCGCAATATTTTTTTTTATGTATTAGGATATAAGAAAAGACGTGAATAAATTTTTTTATAATAAAAAATTTGTTTTGTTATGGCGCAGGCGTTTAAAAACCCTTTACTAAAAAAGCATCAAATTAGCACTTTTCTGCTTTATTTTCATAAACCTATTGTGATGCGATCATCAGGAAAACAGCTGATGATGAGTTCTACTCTTCATAAAGTCATACAAAAACATAAGTATACTGTGTCTGCTTTAGGATATTAGAAATGGAGAAAAAATTATTTGCTTCATAGATAATAAATAAGATAGTTCCTACAATAACTCACAAACTTTCTGAAGGATTAAAAATTTATTGTTTCTAAATAAAATGTCGTCTAAATATTACAATATGTTTAAAGCTCAACTTATTTACTGAGATTATAAATAAAATCCAAAACAAAACAACAACAAAATTCATATTGCTTAAATTAATTCAAAAAGATCTTTTTTTGATTGGTTTACGGTCATGATTTCTCGATGTGCTAATGTTGCTCTGATGAACCCATCTCTTCTATCTTTTCTAAATACCGATTAAGAACTCTTGTACTTTTTGAAAACTTCATTCAATAGCTTGCCATAAACAGGAAAACAAGGTACATGCATCAGAAAATATTTGTATTTAAAAAGTTCATCATTTGACAATAAACATGTAAGTTGTTGTTGTACATCATGTTCATGTACATCCAAACTCCAATCAATTAGATCAAAAAGTGATTAAGCATTTTTATTAAGTATATGATGTTTTCTATTTTTTTGTCTCTTAGTTCTCATAAGTCTCCTCTTAATTTTAAAATTGTTTCAACTGCAAATTGTCAGTCTGTTTTTTCTAGACTACATAACAATGCTTAAAGAACATTTTTAGTATGAGCATTCCATGAAGAAGATAAAACATAGAGCATTAGAATTTCTTTAACATTAAGTCTTTGATGACAAAGAAGTTTTAATTGCTTGAGTATATGGTTAGGCCCTTTAGCCCACTCCCACTTTACTTTGATTTGACCAAATGATTTTGTAATTCACCAAAAATATTTTAATTTATTTTGTAAAATTTACAAAATAAATTTTACTTCAACACTTGCACATATCATATCCAAAATTTAGTGAATGTAGCAAAAAAATAAAAAATAAAGAAATTTACATGCTATACAACAATATAAACAATGACACGTGCTGTTTACTTGCTGCACAACAATCTCAACAATGACACAAGCATCCCAGTCTAGCCTAAGTAATTCAAATTTAGTTGCCTTGTTTTACGAAAATGAAAGTCTCTCATCTGAGACACACAATAAGTTTTTACCCTGAGCCAGTTGTTGTAATAATGAACAAGATATTTTCACTTGTAGACAAGAAATTCCATCGAGAGAAAATCTAATGAAGATTCGGTTATCTAACTTGGCTAATCAGATAGCTACCTCTTTTAAGAAATATAGAACGAATATTGCTATAGTTCAGTCTAAATTTAATAGTATGCTATAAAAACTAAATTTTTTAAGATAAAGTGTTAAAAGAAATTAAGATATTATAAAGGATTTAAGAATAGAGTTGAGAGAGTTAAAAACTAAATGAAATGTATTACTTTACTCGACAAATTCGAAATCATATAAATGCAATAAAAAACAAAAGTTGCAGCAAATAAAGGTAAAGCATAACACAGATAATAGGGCAAATAAAAAAAATTGCTAGTTTGGAAAACGACTTGCTTCAGAAAAAGGAGAACACAACTACACTTTTGAGCATGACTGAAGAAGCAAAGTCATTTTCATTACAGATGAGAATAATTAATTATAATATGTTAATATGTAATGTACCAACAGGTAACATTCCTTTTTTGATTCAGAAAATTGGACAATATATGGGTTTTGTTTTTTCTGATATTCCACATTGCAATATCGTTAAACAAATGGCTCCTAAGCTTGACAGTATTCTCAAGCTTGCAGGCAGTTGAATAGCCAATCAACAATAGTCAACTTACTCTTGGCTTTGATGCTTCAACACAAGATGGTGTTCATATTAACAGTATTCACTTGACGTCAAAAGATAAATGCCTAGTTATTGCTCTTGACCAACTACCTGGCGGAACAGCTGATGATTATGAAAACCATATATGTAATATAGCAATATACAAGAT